ACCAAGGTGGTTAGCAGCAGAGGTGGGGAGAAGGGTCCAGATTCTGAATATAATTTGAAGGTTATGCTACGGAGCCAAGGGATGGACTGGACGTGTGAGATGAGAGAAGCGTCCAAGATAAGTCCAAGTTCTGAGCCACTGGGAGAATGCCAGTGTCCTTTACCCAGTGGGAGGGAGACCGGAGCTGAGCTGGCCTGAAGGCATGGGAGGCACAGCATTTTGGTGTGTTCGGTTCATTGTGGTTGAAGTTTGATGAGCGTATTACGTGGAGCAGACTGTTGGGGCCAAGGGGAGATGTCAGTAGGGGTTGGAGCTGGCCCACCAGGAGTCATCGCATATGAATGGTATTTTAAACCACGGCAGTGAATGAGCTCATCGAGGGTGGGAGGTAGCTTGAACCGTGGCCCATGGACTGGGGCTGGGCACTTCACATTGCTCAGAGGTTAGGACTACAAAGAGGCTGAGGAGAGTGGCCAGCAGGGGAGGAGGGGCCCGAGGAAACAAGCTTGTCCTGGAGACAAGCAAAGAAAGGAAGAAAGACCAGGGCTGAGGAAGACGAGGGCTGAGGAAGGCCTGCGGTGGCCTCAACAAGAGCTGCTTGGGTGGAGTGTGGGGCTCCGGTCCTAATTCAAGCGAGTCTGGGAGTTTGAATGGGAAGAGAGGAAGTAGAGGTTGCTGAGAGCATAGCCAACTCTTCTGAGCGGGTTGCCTAGAAAGGGAAGCAGAGAGTAGGGTGGGGACTTGGGCGTGGGATAGAGAGGGTCTTTTTAAGGTCGGAGAGATGTCGGGCTTGCTTGTATGCCCATAGGAATGATCCAACAGAGAAGGGAGGGTTGTGGCTTTAGGAAAGAGAGGGGTTCATTGCAGAGGTGAGTCTTTCACTGGCTGAGCAGGGGAGGAGAGCCAGTGGAACCAGGGGGCAGGGGTGCTTGGAGAGGAACAGACTAGGTTTCCCACTATGGCGACAGAAGAAGCAGAGTAAAGGGCCACACACACATCAGGAGAATTCGTAGTGGAAGCCAAGACCCTCTGCTCCTGGCACTTCCATTGGCCAGGTACCATTCACGCATCATGGCACGTCTCATATGCTGTCAATGTGTCCGAAAGCCTTCCTGTGTTACCAGGTCCTGGCACTTTCCTGTGTGGCCTAGAGAGTCTTCCATTGGCATCCCAGGACTAGGACACTCTAGAGGACTTTGAGGTCACCTGTGAGAGGAGGAATGGTCTCCTTTCATCACCAGCTCCTCTGCAGGGAGCGAGGCTACACTAGCCTGAGCCTCTTGTCACGGCATTGCCACCAGGGTTGTTAGACCACCTTGACAGCCTCAGGCTTGGCGCCAGGAGAAGTTAGGCCATGGAGAGGGATACACATTGGCAGTGGGCGGGGTCTCCCACGGATGCTGACACAGAGGGGATCTTATGGGCTGGGATGCTCTCACCCTCCACGTCTTTGGACGTTTAACTCTTACGACGGGGAGGACCTGGAGATTTTATCCAAATAATCACTGCTGCCCACCTGCTGGAAGAGCCCAGCCCTTTGATGTTTTTGTCATCAGTTCATGAGCTCACCCACATAAGGACATCAAAGAAGATCCCTGATGACATCACCTACCCTCCTCCAATCTGCAGCTGCATTCGAACAGCTCCCCAAAACCAGACAGACCACCGCCGGTAATGAAGCCGGCTAGAAGATTTGGAAATCATGGTGTCTGGAAAGAGATGAGAGGAAACTGAATCCTGGAGGTGGGGTGGGGGGTTGTGTGGAGTTAGCCAACCTCAGGGAAAGGAAGCAACAGCCACGGGACCAGGAGAGTCTCAGCATCTCAGCAGACACGCAGGAAGGAATCGCAGGCCTGCTTGAGAGGAAACGGTGGTCCCAGAGCCTGAACCGCCATGTCTCGCAAAACTTGGTGGAGACTCTGAGGCGGTGTGTGGGGGAGGAAGCAGTGGCCGCAGCATCCGGGACATGCGTTGGACCTTCCCATCCATCTCTCTCGGGATGGAGGAGCCATGTGAGCCTAAGACACTTTACCTGGAACCGCATCCTTGAGAAAGCAGCTGACAGGCAGAAACAAGAGCCCACGAGGCCCCGAAACACACACGGAGGGGCTGTGCCCTGAAAGCAGGACTGTGGCAGCAGCAGACCATGACACATGTCTGGAAGTGGCGTCCCCAGGAGATGACTAAGCTACTTGATGCCTCCCTTTAACTTCATAGTCTCTCTCTCTCTCTCTCTCTCTCTCTCTCTCTCTCTCTCTTCACTCCCCTCCACCAGCGGAAGGAGAGTAGGAAACCAGGTTAGGTGGAAGGCACAGCTGCCCAAGAGAAATGAGGGTGGGATGATGCTGAGAGACTCTTGGCCAGAGTGTTCATCTGTCATGACAACGGCCACTGGGCCTTCTAACAGAGTCTCCCGAGGGGACCCATGAGATGACTGGCTGCGGGGTCCCTGCCACAGCAGCCTGGCTGGCAATTCACACACCAGGCACTACAACCCAAAGCAGACTGGGGAGGGGGGCAGTCAGTCGGCCAGGCTTGTGAATTCATTATGGAAATTCTTTGAGGCAGTAAATAGGCAAGAGCATAAAGGGTAACAGGTGCTTCAACGGCATAATTAATTAGGAGCGCCAAGAGGGACCGTGGAGTTCAAACCAATTTCAGCAGCAGAACCCTTGGTTCAAACAACATCCTGCATAAAAGTCAGGTAAGCAAAACCCACAAAGGGGTGGGAGTTTGGGTGAGGCGTGCAGACCTCGCCTGCTTCACCACCCCCTTCACTTCTTGCAGAAGCCCCCACCCCACCCAAGGCTCCTTCCCATGGACCCCCCCAAGGGCTGTGCTGTTCTGATCCCCAAAGCAACACGGGTTGATGAATTCAAAGATCCAAATAGACAGAAGGGGCTTATACAAAAGGCAAGAGTCCCCGGTGCCTACTCTATCCTCTGCCTTCCCACCAGCCGTCAGGTCTTCTCCCCAAGAAGAAATCGCTTTGTACTCTGAGCCGTTTCCGTTCTAAATTCTTCTCATTGTTATCTTGGCATCAGGAAATGATCTGCCTGCGCTGTTTCTTGATTCATAAAACTCCAGAAACCTTGCCCTGTTTTCTGCAATGACAGGACCGAGCTGGGTGCACACTGCTACCCTCACCTCCCAATATAGCTGCATCCCTATTTCGGCTTCATCTTTATTTTTATCGAAGTGATGCATGCCATTAGCTGACAGTTTGAACAGGGGAAAACGGTTTACTAGGGAAAAAAGAAGTCCTGCCTACCCCTTTTCCATGCTCCTTTATCTCCATTCCTCTCCCCTCAGGTAGGTGGGCTCTTGAAAGAGAGAGCTCCTCTATCAGAGAGGTGGCAGGTTTGAATCCACCCAGAGTGACCTTGGAAGAAAGGATTGCTGATCCGCACCTAGTGAAAACCCTGGAGCGCAGTGCTGCCCTGACACCCACGGCCTGGAGTCGACACGCAGCAACTGGCTTGCTTTGAACTCCGTCTTGCCTGCCAGCCTGTAAGCTCGGGCTTTCCTTTGCTCGCGGATACAGTGGAGGTGGTGAGAAGCAGAGCTCGATGGGACCACCTTGTTTTGCTGGGTCTGGTTCTGTTTTCCACCTCTGGCGGGGCATGGTCTTGCCACTTCTCTCACCCTCCTTCCAGAAGAAAACATTGTGTTTTCCTTTAGGCTTTCGTGAGTTTTACTGTTTATCCCAAATGCCTAGGATAATGCCTGACTTCATAAACATGCGGTCATTAAGTCAAGCCCAAATTTCAGGAAAAGGAAGAGAAAGAAACGGGGTACCTCCAAGGTCATGTTAGAACCAATCATTTTCCATCTGACTTGCGACATGGGAAGGCGTGTCCGTGAACCTCACCGTTTGTAGAGGATGGGTAGGGAGATGCTATCATGGGCAAAGAGCTTAGTCCATACGGCACTTGTTGGCTTGGCTTATTTGGACAGGGAGGTTCGATTATCTTGGAAAGAAGGCTGTGTGCTCAGGTTGTAGAGGCTGGGTGGGAAGTGGGTGTCAACGAAGAGACATTGGCCAGCCCCACTTGCTCAAGAACAGCTCTTGGTGGAAAACAAGGACAGGGAGCTTCTTCCTGGGGCAGCTGGGCCACCAGAGCCCCTCAGCCAAGAGCTAAGACTGAACACGGTGGAAAGGAGTCCACCCACCCCAGCACGGAGGTCCACCTCCCAGGTGCATCCCAAAGGAAGTTTTTCTTAAACCATCCCACCCCAGAGGGTTTTGTGGGAGTTTCTCTGTGGCCTTTCTCTTACAGTGTTTTTTTTTTAAATAAACTCCTATCAAGCTCCTAGAATTCCTGACCATTGTCCAGGTCACGGAGCAAGTTTGAGTTATCGGAGTGTTTCTACAGTATTTGGAATTCTACCAGCCACTCCACCTTTCCCTGCCTTTAAATCGCCTATTCCTTCTAGTGGTATAGTGGTCACACACTGAGCTGCAATCCGTGAGATCGGCAGTTTGAAACCAGCAGCCGCTCTGCTGGAGAAAGACAGGGATTTCTGCTCCCACAAAGTTACCGTCTCAGAAACTCAAAGCGACGGCCCTACGTTGTCCTTACGAGCCACCATCGACCCGGTGGCAGTGAGTTTGCCTTTTGGGTCTATTCCTTCTCGAGATCAAGCATTGCAGCTCTCTGTATGAATGACAACTCAACGTCAGAAAAACAAACTTCTCATGATGGGACCAAGAGGCAACATCACGACAGAGAAAAGACTGAAGTTGTCGAGGATTCCATCTTGCTCAGATCCATCATCAATACTCACTGAAGCAGCAGTCAAGAGAGCAAACAACCCATTGAATCAGGCAAATGTGCTGCACGAGACCTCTTCAGAGTGTTGAAAAGCGCAGGCATTACCTTGAGGACGAAGGTCCACCTGACCCAACCCACCAAGCCATGGTATTTTCAATCGCCTTATGTGCATGAGACTTGGACACTGAGTAAGGAAGACCAAAGGAGAGCCAACACAGTTGAACGATGGCGCTGGGGAAGAAGATTGAAGGTACCGTGGACTGTCAGAGGAATAGACAGATGTGTCTTGAAAGAAGAACGGCCAGAATGCATTGTAGAAGCAAGGATGGTGAGACTCTGTCTCACAGACTTTGGACATGTTGTCAGGAGAGACCAGTCCCTGCAGATGGACATCGCGCTTGGTAGAGAGGCAGCAAAAAAGAGGAAGACCCAAGATGGGGTGGATTGACACCGTGGCTGCGACAGTGGGCTCCAACATCAGGACACTTGCAAGGATGGCGCAGGGTTGGGCAGTGTTTTGTGTGGTTGTACGGAGCGTCATGGTGAGTCAGGACCGACTCAGAGGCAGCCCACAGCAGCAATGATTCCTTCTCCTGCCACCCCAGCATGTCCCCATGCCTACAGCTACCTTGACAAAGACACCTCACCTCCTCCCCATTCTGGTGACGGCTCTCAGAGCCCCTGTTTTCCCTAGTCTTCTTGGCTCCGCGGCTCCCTTCCCAACACTGGCCCTCCCACTTCCCTCTCGCACACGCTCCATGTCAGTGGTGCCATTCTGACGGCGTGATTGGTTTTCCGGCTCCTCAAAGGTGCTGTGCTCTTTCTCGCTTTGCCTTCACAGACGCTGTGCCTGGAACGTTCTCCCCGCTCCTCACCTGGCTAGATCGCGTCAGGGCTCACCTTACAGGGCACTTCCTCAGAGACGCCTTCCCTGACCCTTCAGCCTTGGTTAACTCCCTGTCATTGAGTCAATGCCGACTCACAGTGACCCTTCGGGACAGGGTAGGACTGCCGTGAGTTGCGAGACCAACTCTTTCTGGGAGGAGAGAGCCACGTCTTTCGCCCTTAGCCTGGGTAGGTGCCCTTTTCCCATGTGCTCTATAATCACCACCACATGTCTGAAACACATGCACTGGTTCTCTTCCCCATTAAAGTACGAGCCCCTTAAAGGCAGGCACCTTGTCTTCGCATACTCACTGCCGTTGAGTCTGTTCTGACCCGGAAGAGCCCAGTAGGGCAGAACGGAACTGCCCCATCGGGTTTGAAGGTCGTCATCCTCACAGAAGCAGCCTGCCACACCTTTCCCCTGCAGGACAGCTGGGAGGTTTGAGCACCCTGCCTTTCGGTTAGCAGCCAAGCATTTCAATCACTGTGTCCACGTGGTGGGTAATCAGTCACTCTCTGTACATGCAAGTAGTCTGACTTACGGGAATGAGAGCATCCCCGTCCAGCTCCCTGTGCAGGGAGAGAGGCCTGTCTCCCATCTAACAGGACTTAGCAGCCCTGTGGTGGAAGCCACGCTGGGACACCAGAACCCAGCAAGCAACCGACAGGTGTTACAGTGATGGTAGAGGTACGATGGGAAAGCTCGGGGGTGTCTGTTCTCCGAGGTCTGATGACTAGTGTCTCTCCCTAGCCCAAGGACCCTGGAGGGAGGATGTGAGCAGCAAGGTGTTGGAGACTTACAGGAAGAGGCCAGGCAGGGAAAGGTGGGCAGGAGGCTGGAAGTTACCTGGCTGTTCCAAACCCTTCTGTAGAGAAACCAGGCTGGAGGCAGGTAATGAAGAGTCATCAAAGCTGGGCCTTGGGTGCACGGGCAATGGGCATCAGGGAGGCATGGGGGAAGCGGCGTGTTTGGGCGTGCATCCAAGAGCAGGGTGAGGGATGGCCAGAAGGGACAGGGCTGAAGCTACTGGACAGTCCAGTCCAGGTGGGGGTATGTGGGTCATTGCTCAGAATGAGGGCAAAGGGGAAGATTCGAGAAAGATTAAAAACGGAGATGCCAAGGGCTGCTGCTTCGGACTGAGCACAGGAGATAAAGAAAGGAGGGGCGAACATCGAGGAGGCAGGTGTCTGTCCATCCCCATGACGGGGCAGTGCCATGGCCTAAAAATCACAGCGACAGAAGATTAAATTAACTCTATACACGCCAGATAGAAGCAGGTGGCAGAACCTTCAGTGATCTTTCAGGATGGAAGAGTCCTGGTGGCATAGTGGTTATGCACTGGGCCCGGCTCCATGGGAGAAAGACGGGGCTTTCGACCCCCGGAAAGAGTTACCATCTCGGAAGCTCAAAGGGGCATTTCTACCCTGTCCTCTGAGGTCACTGTGAGTCAGCATCAGCTTGACGGCAGTGATTGGAGTTGCTGCGTTAAAGCCCTGGTGAGGTCGTGTGTTAGGGATTGGACCACAAGGTCCACAGTTTGCAGCCAGCCACCACTCCAAAGAAGAAAGAAGAGGCCAAGTTGGCACAGCCCGGCACACCCCTCCTTGGTGCGTGTCAGCTGTCAACAGGAAGGCTCATCACAGCACTGTTGATAAACAGGGAGAAGTGGGGGGGTGGGGGGTCAGGGAGCAAACCAAGTGTCTTAGTACCAGAGAATGAATAATGAAGTGGCAATTTAGTCCTGCGATGCAATGCTACTCCGTGGCAGCAGCACTTTCGGGTCCCGGGGGAAAAATACTCAACCACCACAAAGTAAACGGCAGGAGGACGTGGTTGCAATGTTATCTTAAACGGAGTGGGGGGACACACAGCTGTGTGCCGTGATCCATCTTTAGACTTTCCACACTTCCAGAAATAGTCTCTCGTACCTACTGAAGAATGAATAAAAACAATTTCAAAGTAAGAGACTCCGAGTGAGACGGGTATGTGGCCTGCCAGCCGGGCGTGGGGTCTGAAGGTCCAGCACCTGAGAGCCTGTGGGCCTCAGACAACACACCCCGAGCTGGTGGTGGGCAGAGTCTGCCTGGAGGGGGCGTTGTTTCGAAATGGGAGTTCGGATTGGGGTGTTAGGATGTTGCTCCTTGAGGAGAGGTTTGATTTTATACATACATATATTTAATTATATCATGAATATGAATCCATGATAAAGAACTCTGAGTTTGAAGAGTGAACCAGGAGAATTCTCCCCTTTCTGGAGGGCTTGCCGGGGACCTACAAGGGTGAAGTGCTCAGCCGCTCACAGAAAGGGTGGAGGTCTAGCCCACCCATAGGCACTGCAGAGGAAAGGCCTGGAGCTCTCCTTCCAAAATGTGTTAGTCTGGGTACATTAGAGAAACAAATCCACAGAAACCCATATGTATAAGAGAATTTTATATAAAGGGTAAGTGCACATCAAGAAAACATCCCAACCCAGTGCTGCCCAAGCCCATAAGTCCAACATTATACCCTATCTGTCCGACACCAATCCACAAAGTCCTCCTGCATCTCACAAAACACACGCAAGGATGCCGACTGCAGGAGGAAAGCCGAATCAGGGAATGTGTAAGCATCTCAACGCTGGCAGGGGTCTCCACACGGCGGCTCCAGCACCCAGGGCTGCATTGGGGTAGGTCCATGTGGCTTCTTCTCAGGGATGTATCACAGGAAGTGAGCCTTGCCAGCTAAAGCAGGGAACTGGCTAAGGCAGCTGCACCCTGGTCCCACCATCAGAAAGCAAGAGACCCGAGAACTAGAACGGCGAGGTTCACCGAGCCATTTACCGCTCTGCCCTTCAATTAACCCCACATGTGTTTTTCGGCCAGGTTGGCACAATAAACTAACTACCTCACAAATAGCCATGGACCACCCAGGGAGCACAGTCCTACCAGGACACCTGTGTAGTCTCGGCGAGTCAGTGTGTCCACTGGTGGGAGTGGTGGGCCACATGCCAGGCATGGGTGTTTTATAGAGGTCTCCTGTATGCCTCCTGGCAGGATTGTGAAGGAGAAATTACTATCCCCATTTCATAGGTGAGAAACCCCGATGACCTAGTGGTTACAAGTTGGGCCGCGGTCCATAAGGGCAGCAGTTCGAAACCACCAGCTGCTCCAAGGGAGAAAGACAGGGCTTTCTACTCCCGTCAAGAATGACAGTCTCAGAAACTCACAGGGGCAGTTCTACCCTGTCCTGTGGGTGGAACGGTGGGTCACTATGGATCGGGATCATCCCCATCGATGAGTTTTAGTTTTGTTTGTGGTTGTTTTATTTCACAGGCAAGACGGCAGAGCCTTCAGCAAATTAAGTGGCACAGAGAGGGGAGGCCATGGAAAAGCCAGGCACTGACAATGCACCATGAACTCATTATGCCCTCAAGGTGCCAGCTCCCCTTGTGGTCAAGCTCACAGCTGGCCAACGGTGGCTGTGCTAGTTAAGATTCATTGTGCCGACCTGCCACTAAACACACATGGGTTTAATTGAAGATAAATGGCTGCACAAGCCTCACCTTTCTGGTTCTCTGGTCTCTTGCTTTCTGATGTTCAGACCAGGGTGCAGCTGCCTTAGCAGTTCCCTGCTTCAGCTGGCAAGGCTCACTTCCTGCAAGACATCCCTGAGGAGAAGCCACATGGACCTACCCTGATGCAGCCCTGGGTGCTGGAGAAACTGTGTGGAGACCCCTGCCAGTGCTGAGATGCTTACACACTCACTGATTTGGCTTTCCTCCTGCAGTCGGCGTCATTGTGTGTGTTTTGTGAGTTTGAGGAGGACTCTGTTGATCGGCGTTGGACATATTGATCAGTGTTGGACATATGGGTTAAGTCGAACTTAGGGGCTTGGACTGGCCCGGGTTGGGATGCTTTCTGAATGTACATTTACCCTTGATATAAAACTCTCTCTTATACATAAATGAGTTTCTGTGGATCTGTTTCCCTACTCTACCCAGACTAACACAGCGGCCCTCCACCATGTCTTTCCTGCCAGCATGCCAACAACTCTGCACCCTCTCCGAGTAGCCCATGCCCTCTCATCTGTCCCTGCAGGCCCCTCCCCTCCAGGTCTCTGCTTCACTGCCAGCTGTTCAGAGAAGCCTTCCTTGCTCCCCCCAGAGGGAACCCCTCCTCTTCTGTTCCTTGGCCTCGTTACACATGTCGGCTGCCCACGGCCCTGGCACTTTGGTGGGGTCGCTGCCTTTCTCACACACTAGAGGACAAAGGGCAGGGACCTTTGTCGCTCACCACAGAATCGAGGGGCCTAGCTCTAACCGTGCACTCAGCAGTGCTCTGTGGATGCTCATCCCTCATGCTGCATGCAACAGTGCTCTGTGAATG